GATTTTCTAAGCAGGAAGTGGTTTGTAACCTTTGAGCCTCCTCTTTGGTGATTATCTTCCACTTTCCCCATCCTCATGGCTTATCTCAGCTTATCTTATGGCCCAGAATGAAGAGATCAGATGGACTCACCCAGTAGTGGACTTGTACCAGTGACCAGTCAGTTCCTGACCTGTTGTGCAGATTGTTTCCCACAATCAAGTTCTGTTCCAAGGTCACTTGTTGGTCACAATGCCTGTCCCATTTTGCAGAATAGTTGGTAGTTTGACATCCATCCTTTTCCATCTCTGTTCCTCCTAGAGAAATTCTCATAGCACTATCTGTTTCAACAAAATTGACATGCATCCTACTACTCATCATAATCCCAATGTATTTTTGTGTTTTAAATGAGTGCACAATGATAACATATATATCATATATGAGAAAATGACACCATGTAGCACAGTATTGTGCTTTCTGTCTAGTTTATTCGTGATGTTATGAGATTCTCTTTTCATTTCTTATACTCACACAGATGAAAAGGTAATTTCAAGATCTAGATCAGAATTTCTCAAACTGTGCTCCTCCAGATGTTTTGAACTTCAGTTCCCACAATTCCTAATGGTAAGCTGGCTGGGATTTTTGGGAGCTGAAGTCCAAAATACATGGAGGAGCACAGATTGAGAAACTCTGATCTAGATACAGATGCACAATTAAAAGAGACATCAGTGGTTATGCTACTAATCCAGTACAGGTGTCAAAGAAATTATCCATAGTTGTGGAAAGATCCATGATTTTTTGGCTGCCCTTCATTGTTACTTCTGAATATATTTTCTGGATCTACTCTTGCAGTGATGTTACGCAGTCATTGACAATCCTCAGCTCTCCCCTTTCCGTCCAGTATTAGAGCTGGGAAAATGACAAGGTCTTGCTGGTTTGCCCACTGTGTAATCAAGGTACTATGAGGTGCCTTATCAACCTATTGGCTAAACCATTGGCTTATCAAAGTTATTTCAGCAAATAATACTTTATATTCCTTCTACTAAAGTCTGATTTATAGCAATCCTATTGTAAGATTTCTTCAGATGGGATTTGCCATTGTCTTTCTCTAAAGCTGAAAGACAGTGACTTGTCCATTGTTACACAGTGGCTTTCCATAGCTGAACAAGGATTTGAACCATGGTCTCACAGTCCTCGTTCAGCACTCAAACCACTACATTGTGGGGGTTCCTAAGTCATCCACTCCTCTATTCCTGAACTTTTTAGCAGTACTTCATATCCACAAATGGTTGAGAGAAAACAGAGGAGTTGGAACTCTTGTGACAAGTGGCATTGCAATCTTATAGTCATTTACGAGTATAATGGATAGAACCTTTGGGGCATATTTTAGATAATACTGTTCTGAAAGCAGCAGTTTTTCACTGGTGTGGAGGATTTGTGTGAAGTCTCTGCTACTTGACACACAAGTGACAGTGGTTTAAATTGGAACAATGACCAGCTTGACAAGGTGTCCAGTTGTATCTGTTGTACAGAGAAGAAATAGCAAAGGGCAAATTACGTGCAGCCTGTGAAAGTGCTAGAGAAATGGCCTTCCTGCTGCTCATTTATTTATTATAAATACAATATTACTGGGATAGTCTACAGAAGGAGTAGAAAACATACAGATGGAAAATACAATAAATGAAAACCATAAAGTCAATATAAAACAGTAAGTAGAATGGAAGTTACATTTTAAAACTTTGGGATTAAAAAAGTTTGCCTTTAAGAAAGGACAAGAAAGAAAGTTCTGCGAAACTGAGGAGTCCTGCATATCTAACACTTTTTTTGCCTCATTCAGGCACAATGGGGATATTTTGAAGATCCCGAAAGACAAGAATCTAATCTGTGGTAGGAATCAAGGAAATCAAGTCGCAGTAAAGTGAAAGATCAATCCAGTCTTCCAAGAATTAGAATAATGGAATGGATTTGGCAGTGACAGCTAGTAGCTCCAGCATTTAAGTGGTGTTGAATCTGCTCTAAATTCTAGTATAAATGTTGAAGGTACTATCCAGGGTGCTGAATCTGTTTGTGGGATAGGATTTCACACATTGGATAGTTCCCTAAACGTGCAGGGTACAATCTTTAAGAAACCCACAACTTTCCTGACATGGGAGACACCACCTGCCCATGGATCTGAGTCCTCACACCATGTAGTGAGAGTTTTGCAATGTCTAATGAGCCTTGCACTGAAAGCTTTTCAATTTCCAAGCAGTGGCACTAGCATAATATTCATGTTGTTGTTTATTCTTTCAGTCACTTCCAACTCTTCAAGACCTCATGGACCAGCCCACGCCAGAGCTCCCTTTCGGCTGTGGCCATCCACAGTTTCTTCAAAGTCAAACCAGTCACTTCAAGGATGCCATCCATCCATCTTGCCCTTGGTCTGCCCCTCTTCCTGTTTCCTTCCATTTTCCTCAGCATCATTGTCTTCTCCAAGCTTTCCTGTCTTCCCATTATGTGGCCAAAGTACTACATCCTTGCCTGTAATATTCTTCCCTCCAGTGAGCAGTCGGGCTTTATTTCTTGGAGGATGGACTGGTTTGATCTTCTTGCAGTTGAAGGCACTCCCAGAATTTTCCTCCAGCACTACAGTTCAAAACCTTCATGAGCCCAGCGCATTTCTTTAGGAAGAGGGGGAAATAGCAATTAGACCAGGGGTCCTCAAACTAAGGCCCGGGGGCCGGATGCGGCCCTCCAAGGTCTTTTACCCGGCCCTCGCTCAGGGTCAACTTAAGTCTGAAATGACTTGAAAGCACACAACAACACCACCAACAACAATCCTACTCATCAGCCAAAAACAGGCCCACACTTCCCATTGAAACACTAATAAGATTATATTTGTTAAAATTGTTCTTCATTTTAATTATTGTATTGTTTTTAAGTGGTTTTGCACCACAAATAAAATACGTGCAGTGTGTATAGGAATTAATTCTTTTTTTTCCAAATTATAATCCGGCCCTCCAACAGTTTGAGGGACTATGACCTGGCCCTCTGTTTAAAAAGTTTGAGGACCCCTGAATTAGACTTTCCCTATGCAACATGCTGTTCATGAGAATGATTTTACCAAGTCTCCATTTGGAGCAGCTTCTACAGATTGATGGTGCCATCAACTGCAGCTTCTCCCCCCCCCCCCTAAAGAAACCTATTGGGATATGAGCAACATATTAAAAAGCTGGTGTCTGGTTGTTTTCCTTCATCTTTGGGGAATAATACTTCTAATTTGAAAATTCTGAGATGGTGTTTTTGTTTTCCCAGATTTGCTGAGATGTGCCAGTTGATGCTCTTTGGCCCAACATCTAAAAATAGTGGAGCACAGATTGCTTACTTGAATTTAAGGACAAAATCTCTTAAGAGGAAAATCAAAACTCCCAGATTTTTCAAAGATGAATAATTGTATAGTTTCTTACTAGACAACATTTGGTCTAAACTGAAAGTTATACAGCAAATACTGCATTATCCTTCAGCAGCTAGTCCCTTTGACTTTGGCCTATAAAGAATATATCCTTATAAGAAGAACTTCTGTCTCTGGTGACTTTTTCCATAAGATTCAGTATTTCCAAGAGGTGATGCTGTTGTCAAGTCATAGTAAATCTGTCCCTGATCCTTTTGGGGCTCACAACTTGCTGTAACTTAACAGCAAAAGAACTGCTTACAGCTCTGTTGCTGGCAGTATAACTTGGTTTTACATCAGTATTCATAGACATGATCATATTAGTCTGCACCAGCATACAAAGGAATCTTCTAGCACCTTTGAGACTGAGTGAAAGAGACTAACTGGCAGGGCAAGGTTTCATAGACTCAATCTACTTCATCAGATGCAGGTAGAGTTTTGAGACCAAGATGGAAACCCTCTTTGGACCACGACATTTGTCTCCCCCTTCCTCTCCCTCCTTTATCACAGGCATAAGAAGAGAAGTAGGGCTGAACCAGGAGCTATTACTGGGCAGTTCTGGGGAATGATGTTCAAAGAAGTGTGTATACAGCTGGTCAGTGAAGAAAATCAATTGGGAATCATTTAGCAATCAATGCCATATTTGCATTTTTAATCAGAAGTCGTAGAAGTAATAACAAGCTCTTCGGATGTTAGTGTTTCTTTTGTGTCTGCAGAGTCTTTTGCCAGAATCGAGCAGAGTGAAACCTGAACTTTTCCCTTCTTGAAATAGTTTTTCTTAGCCTCAGTGAGGAAGAAAGAAAGGAGAACTGAAAATATGAAACTATGACCAGATCATAAAGCATGAAGGAAGAACAAGCTTTTGAGTAGTATGAAAAGCTGGAACTGAAAAATGGAAGTCAGATCTGGCATAAAGCAACTGGGAAAATTTCACAAATCTCTACAGACAATAAAAAGCTAAAGACAGACCACAAATAAAATATGAGAACAAAAATAAGAGAGGGTTGTTTGGAAAAGCTCAACACAAAGGAAGAAACTGCTAATTTGGATGACAGCAGGAGTGATAAAAAAAAATACTATGGGGTGACATCAGGTTTAAGGAGCGGTACTCAGGCTCTTCTGTCCCTACTGGAAACAGTTTTTCCACATGAGGCTACTTATCTGTTGAGCTTTTATTCTGAAGTTTGAATCGCTCACCTTTGATGATATAGGAACAGGTACTGGAGAAGGGGCATTCCAAGGAGTAGCATCTCCTAGATACATTCATCAGGCACCAGTACAATTCACTTTGTGATACCACACTAAGTCCTGTTTCTCTGAGCTTTTTAGTCTGGGTGCTTTTTTATTTTGTTATTTTGCATTTATTAGATCTGCTATGAAGGATTTTGTAGAGGAAAATTTTTGTAGAGGAAAAAAAACTTTCAACACTGCAAATTAATTTTCCCTGTAGAAAGTACTGTAGGTTGTGTTGTCACTCGGGATATGGATGTTGTGCTTTTCTTTTGATGGTTTGGTACAAGTATGTGTTAGAAGGCCAGACCTGTAGCTTAATCAAGAAATGACCCGTCTCTTCTCTTTTTATCTCTGTCTTAGGAACTGTTGGTTCATTTCGATTGAAGCCCAGATGCCAGCAAAGTGCTGAATGCAGGGGACCACAGAAGCTCTTCAAAGCCCAGCATCCTCTTGGATTCATGCTGATGCAATGAGTGCCTTCTACCTGTAGTAGTCCACAAATGCATCATGAATCCATAGTTCGATGTCTCTATGTATCTGTCTTAACTGATGAATTTGGAACGGAGAAAGGGCAAGGTTTTGTGTTTGGGGAATACACTCAGTGAAATATGTGTTGTCATAATTACTATCCATCTTTCACTGAGAGAATTCCCATAAACAGATCTTTTTCCTAATGGGGCTTGTTAAGTCAGAAGCTCCCGTTTTTTAAAAAAAGAAGCCTGTCAGATCTTTTGTTTCAGTATCACCCAGAGTGTTTTGAAATGTCTAAGAGATGTTGCCTTTATCCTTGTTCTTTAGAACAAGGCATCTGAGATACCCAGGAAAATGCTAGAGCTGCACTGGTTTTGAGTTTATCCTGAACAGAGAGAAAATTCCCCCTCTTCCCAACCAAAGCTTCTTCCTAAGAACAATAAAGACTGTTTAATGGTCACTGTGTCCTGTCTGGTGTTTTCTTATCCCAACATTCACCAAGGAAGACTCTCCTTTCCTTATTGTTTGTTGTCCTATTGTCATACTGGATTTTCCTGATGGTGCTGACAGCAGAATGTATTCCGTCAGCAACCTTTCAGGTCCTAATAATATCACCCACAGCATCAGACATGTTTTTACTTGCTCATCCTCCAATGTGAAATATGTCAACTTCTGTCAGCGTTACCCATCTCCACTTTACATTGGACAAACAGGATCATATCTGTGCAAGAGAGATCCACATTTGACCTTCAAAATGGCAGTACCCCAAACCTGGCTGCTGAGCATTTCAGCCTTCCTGAAATTTCAGTCTCCGACCTACCAGAAATTGTTTTGGATCAAAAAGATGTCAAAGGGTAACTGGGAATTTGAACGTATACACAAATTTCAATCTATTATCAGAGATCTGAACAGATTATAATGGTTTCATGACACACTACACTTAAATACATCGAGTCTCATCACATGTGACAAAAGGATTCTCTTTCAAACTATTTCCTACTTCAAGGGAACCATCCTTTGAATAATGTAGTGCTTTTACACCCCAAACTAATAGGCCAGCCACTAGACAGACCTCTATCATCTTACACAACTCTGAAGATGTATGAAAAGTATCCCAGTTGAGCATTTCTGCAACCCTTTGAGCATTCATAATCATATAACTGTGCTTAAATACTTACAGCTTGAATATTTTATTCCAAAGGTGTCTTGGGGAAGTGGGCCAAGTATCACGAAAGCTCATGCTACAATAAACCAGCGTGTCCTAAAGATGTTGCTAGGTTCCCCCATTCCCAACATTTCTTTTTTATTGCCAAAACAGTTCTGGACACCTCATTTCTTTTATGTCAGGAGCTGGATATCCAGCTTTGTCTTTATTTCAAGATACAAAAGTTCTGGCTGGTAGTGTTAGTTGTGATGACTCAAATTACCAAACATCTTCACCCTACTTTATGCTGCCCTTGCTGTAATGCATTCTTTGGGATGCTGCTTTTCTCTTCCATTTGTGTGTCTGTGCCTTGGAGGAGTAAAACCTTGTTTCCTCAGAAACAAAATGCTCCTTTAATCCAACAGATTAGTCTAGTCTCATTTTGCTTAATTCTATGGTATTTTCCCACAGTAAACAATGGCCAAAGTTGCTTACAACTTTGGATCAATTTACCAAAATAGTTGGGGGCATTTTTAAATGTGACTCTTTTTTTCCTCTGTAGGTAACAAATCCCTTTAGTGTCTAACTTGTGGACTCCTGCTAACTGATAGAGTGATAGAAATGAAATCCTGTGGCTGAAATTTTAAATGCATTTATTAGGAAGAAAGGCTTAATGAACCCTGTAGGTTTCATTTCCATGTAAATGTATTGTTTTTAAAAATTAAATTAGAAGCAGGTGACATCCCCAAAATCTCTGAGCTAAATCCCCCAATGCACTAAAAGGAATGGTATTACTATGTGCAAGACATTTTAAAAATAAAGGGTATTCTGAAGTTTTAGAGCAGTGGTTCTCTACCTGTGGGTCCCCAGGTGTTTTGGCCTACAACCCAGCTGTTAGGATTTCTGGGAGTTGAAGGCCAAAACATCTGGGGACCCATAGGTTGAGAACCACTGATTTAAAGTGACACCATGAAGAAGACTGGCTTAACTAAGCTGGCCTCTGAATACAACTGGAATTTGAATCAGAGTCACACTGGCTGATCTTAAACATCAGAGAAGTACCAATGGAAGGAAGTACCTCCGAGTGGGACTGCTGGCTTAACTAAAAGACAGTGGAGGGGAGAGTGATTGAAGGGAGAGAGAGAAGCATATCAAACCAGACTGGGAAAAGTAAAGAGAAGTTGCTTTTCTTCGGGATGCAAAGCCTGGAGGGATGTTGGACCACAAAAGCCCTGTGCAGGTATTTATTATTTGCTTCAAAAAAACTTTGCATGCGTAGTCTGCTTTTGACCCAAATTTGCATTTTAGCAGCTCTAAATTGTAAGGATTTAGATGCCAGTGTCGTTGTACCTGCCTGCCTTAGGCAATTTTCCCCTTAGGCAAGTGTAATACGTTTTCCATGTTCTTTATATAATGAGCTTTATTTACCAAATTGGCAATTCCTCTGTTGAGAAATAACTGATTACACCATTCAAGGAGCTGCTGTCATCTTAAGATATGCAGGTGTCTGTGGAACATAAACAGATGTGATCATTCAGAAAATGAACTCGGTTCAATAGAAGTGGCGCAGGAGATGATACTGACATAAAAACTCAAAGGCAGGCTCCCAAACCTGGTTCAGACAAATACAACTAAGGTGTGTCACAATTGCTCTAATACCTTGGTCATAAAGGAAGCCCTGGCTTACGAGGTACTCAAAACCAGCTTTCCTTGACAGAAAATTGTGAGGTCTATACACACATCAAAAAGCCAATTAATCAGCATTGTTTGTAAGGGGTATAAATGAAATACAGTTAGCCCTCTGTATCCATGAATTCTGTATCCAAGAATTTTTAGAAAATTCCCAAACAAACCTGATTTTGCCCTTTGGTACACAAGTAGATACCAAGGGCCCATTGTACAGCTATCCTGAATAGGAATATATTTACTTATGTAGAGTTAACATCTGAAGAAGTACATTTATATCCATGAAAGCTCATGCAAAAATGAATATCAGTTAGTCTTACAAGTACTACTACTCTTTAAGTTCTAGTGTGATGCTATGGAATCATGGGTGATGTAGTTTTTCAAGATCTTCGGACTCCTTTGCCAAAGAGTGCTGGTGCCTCATCAGACTACAACTCCCATGATTCCATAGCATTGAGCTATGTCAGTTAAAATGTTGTCAATCTGCATTGACTCTACAGTGTAGATGCAACCTGTTTTATGAACTATATTGCTAATTAAGTAGTTGATAGAGAATCCTGTCTAGCATCTTACAGCAGAGGTGGGTAACGTCAGTCCAAGATTAGAGGGAACTCAGCCAGTCGCTGCTCAACTCTTTTTAAGTTTTTGGGGGGACAAAAAGGGGAGGAATGGCACATTTCCAGACATGTCTCCCAAGTTGCAAACTGCAGTTTTTCAAGAATCTGGTACTTCTTCCGAATTGTACTAGCGACTTCTGCATAATTATGAAGGAATTTTCATGGCTGAGCATGACACAAAACTAGATTTTCCATAACCCAAGTCCTGTTTTCCAAACACTCTATATGACTGTGTCTATAGAACCTGAGCATAAACTGGAAAGGAGGAAGGGGATGGGAGGGGGAAAAAGAGGGAATGTAACAGCATTTTTAAGACTAACTGAAGTTGTTAATGTTAATATGGCGTCTGTGGATATAAATCCACGTCTTCAGATGCAGTACAGAGTGAATACGTTGATTTTTTCCCCCTCCAGGTATGTTGCTATGAAGCTGAAGAGTGTCACTGGCCTTTAACTGAATGTACCACTCTGCACTGTTTGCATAAATTAATGGAGGACATAATATGAGACCACTTATTTTTCTTCTGAAGTACCTAGTGTTTTCTGAATATCTATATGCAGTCATGCCTTCATATACACTGGACTTAGGAGCTCAGGACCCCCATCAAAGTAGGGAAACTGCAAATTTAAAAATGCTTTTTTTTTTTTACTTGAGAGAACAGTTCTCTACAACTCTCGAGGTCCCTCAGCATGACTCTGTGGTCAAACTCAGGTGGGAATAAACCATAGAACTGAGTTAGAGGAACCTACAAATATCTAGATAAGTGTTCTATTTAGGAATTTTTAGAGCCTCCAACACAACACTATGGCCAACCTCTGGAAGAAATTGGCTATCAAGTTATGTTGGAGGACCTAAATATTCCTTGACATAACATATTAATAAAATCTGTGAATTATAAAATCTGCAAAAGCGAAACCCGCAAAATGTGGAGGGTGACTGCGGAGATATACTTTCACTGTTGTTTCCTCCACATAATGCTTGATAGTCTGAAGTGGAGTCCAAATAGTAGTCACGGTGGTAGTCTCTAGCAGTAACATGGTGTCATTTGAAATTCAAGGATAGATATTCCTATGTGTGGTGCAACTATCTGACACAAGATCAAGCTTCAGAAGCACATGCAAAGATGACCACGAGGACAGAATTGTAGATTAACTTGGACAACACTGCAGATGACTGACCTGGATTCTGTAATTGAGATAGCACTTGGTCTGCTTTGGTTCCTCTCCTAGATAGAAGGATATAGTAGTGAAATGGGCTGTTCATTCAACAACTCTTTTAACTGTTACTAAATTTCACAGCACTGACATTTTAGATGGATCTCTTGGGAGGTTTTGTTAGATTTCCATAGAGAAGAGCTCATGCAGCGGATTTGGATGCACGGATGCGCTCAGCTCATGTATATTATAAGGTATTTGATTATACAAGTATGGAGAAAGAGATATGCATTTACATATACTTTTCAGCAGGTCTAAAACTGCTGATGGATTAATTGGTGTGATTAACTGATCAGGGACCCGCTTGCAAATTCAAAGCCGAGCTCTGATGAATTGGAACTGATTATTTGGATTCATCAACAAACACTGCTGGGATGTAGCTGGCTTTTCTTCTACAGGATGCTTCCCCTTCTAGCCCTCGCTGTCCTGTTATCTCTGTTGAGGAAAACAAATCAAAATTCACTGATTATGCTTTGCATGGAGAAGATCCCATATACAATGCCCAGTTTTTAAAAAGGCAATTGGTGCTGGGAAATACTCAGATAAGCCCGGAGAGTCAGTCAGAGCAGATCTGGTTTTAAAAACTATCTTTGTTCTGAATATCCACCTGCCAATATCTGTACATCACATGGCAAATTGATTTGACTCTCCTTGGAAAGCTCCCCTGGAGTGGTTCACTTGGGGAGTGAGCCACTTCCATCAGTAAATTCAAAAGCCACCACCTTCTGTCTGGTCGGCTTGCCTGGTGTTTCCAGAGGGAGGCTTCTTTTGGAATTGTTATGTTGGATGATTCAGTTCA